AACTTAACTTCCTGACTTTTCACTTTTCTGTTAGATTATTCAGTTCACTACTCCACTTTTTTCTTCAAGGTTACCAGCCATCTCCTAATTGCTAAAACCTGGTAGTCTCCCCCCTCCCCATTTCTCACCCTTCTTAACTTCTCTACAGCTTTTTACAAATGTCAGTCATCCTATTCTGATACAACTCTGTCTTTCAGATGCTGCTTAGGTTTACTATTCTTTCTCAGTTTCCTTGGTAAACCACGATTCATATTATGCCCACTTAGTTGTGGGTTTTCAACTCCATGGTTCTGTTCTGGGCCACTGTTTCCCTCTCCCTGCTTTCTCTGGGTGATCAGCTCTAGTGCTTTCAATTATCATTTAGTACTTAAATCTGTATGTTTAGCTCTGCTGTATCTCCTAAAGTCTGCTTGAGGTGGCATGCTTGAGGTTAGAGTGTCAGGCCTGGAGTCAATAAAACCTGCATTCAAATCCAGTCTCAGACCCTTCCTTACTAGCTATGTTATCTTATGAAAGTCATTTAACTTCTTTTTGCCTCAGTTGCTGTTATCTGTAAAATGGAGATAATAATAGCACCTATCTCCCAGGTTTTTGTAAGGATCAAATGAGATAATAATTGTAAACTGAGTGTCTGACACATAATAAGTGTCGTACAAATATTTTCTATTATTATATCACCTACTGCCCGCTGGACATTGCTCTCTGAATGTTCCCTAAGCATCTCAAATTTATTGTTTCCAAAACAGAACTTTTCATCTTCTTCCCTACATCTGCATCTCCATTGAATTGCCTATTGCTGTTTAGGGCTTCGCCATTCATCCAGACATATCAGTATATTGGCATTCTCAATTCTTTACTCTTCCTTCCCATAGTGTTTTAGTAGTTGCTAAGTTTTGTTGATAATCCATGTTATGCATAAGTTACTACCTTTCTATTCACACAGGTCTTTCTGAGTATTTCCAGCTTCTAGAGCCTTCCCCTCCAAGATGATCTGCGTGTTTATCCTGTGTGTATCTTGTATGGACATAAATGATTTACCTGTTATCCGTCCTTCCAGCCAGGGAGTGTTTTTGCCTTCATTTGGATACTAAATGCTTAATACATAATTGTTGATTTGGTTTGATATTGGGGGGGGGGGGGGGGGGGGGGGGAGGGGGGGGGGGGGGGGGAGAGA